ATGATTTGCACACCTGAGAAATTTGCACACAGGTGTTGGAGGAAAGAAATATTATAAAAAACGTTTACCGCCGCGATGTCGGTTTCGATTATGCTTCTTTGATGGGCATCGTTTGTAGCATGGTTCTGTTTGTAAAGCTTATGACGCGGCCTACATTGCGTTCATCTCTGTTTCTATGCTGTCAGCCAGGAATGCCGTTTTTTATGAACGACGACTACAGCAGTGTGGCAGAAGCGGCTCTATCTTTTTATTTCCTGTTTAGGTTTCTGATCAGGACGCCATGCCCGCAGATTGTGTTCTCTTCACGAAGTCACATGGGAAACGGTCAGCGGAGTTGGGGTCAAGCGGCCTTATAATTGCTTGAAATTCAGTTTTCAGAGCTTACTTGATTATCGAACGCCAGGGCACTGGCCACAAGAAAAGTCTTTACAACCAGAAGGGAAATTGGTTGACTATGAAATTTGATTAAGGAATGCTAGAAATGAGGTTACGTCAGGTTATGAAATGGCCAGGAGTATAAAGCTTTGATTATCCTTCTGATATTGCTTATTCTATTCTATTCATAAGCCGTTTTCGCGCGCTCTGTTTGCTTCTAAAATGACGCTGTAGGGTCAGGTAGTTCTACATATACTGCGTAATTACATGTTTTGAATCTGTTAGCAGCGAACCATAATTCTTACTGTCGAATGTTTCTTAATACCTAATAGCGTACAAGGTTAGAGAAGAAGGCCATATGGATGAACAGGCAGAACACACTGATAGAGAAATATGCAGATAAATCGATGAATTAGTAGATGAGTATAAGTTTCGACAAGTAGGGCGAATAAACAAATAGATGCGTGAATGGAAGACAGTCAGATAAACCTCTAAAGCCACCTCGTGCTCACGACGAAAGATGTTTCAAGGTCTGGTACTCCTTCAACTATGTACTCGACCTATATACCATCACAGAAACATTAAATATGTTAATATGTTAGCACATGTCAAATAGCAATCTCTTGTAAGACCATATTTCATGACGCATCGCACCATCCCATTACTAATCGTATTTGCCTATGGAGCCTGTTTCAGCAGGCCCTGGTTTCATGATATTTGAGTACCTCTCGTGCCAGATGCACCGCACATCATGTTGTCGGCTAGAGCCAGGTCACGCTCACTATGAACTATGTATCTGGAACCGGTTTCCCTGTATGTTACCCAATGAATATCGAAATATGTATTTGCACGGGAGTATTTCAAATAGAATAGCGCATTACGTTTCCCAAACTAGATATCATGGCGCACTGCTCCGTTTCCTTGCGCCAACTTGCTTAGGGGGCCCTTTAAATAGGCCAATATTCTACCATTTTTGACTATTCATCATGCCGAAGGCTATTCTGGTAAACTGGTCGTTTGGTAGCAACAAAAAACAATAACATTAACATTGTGCAACTAATCGTTTAACACAGACTTTTGATAGTTTAGTCTGTGTGCTAGGTCATTGCTGTGCTGAGTCAGTGGTGCATGGTCGGTTGAATTATATGCACTGCTCTTTGTAGTGTTTGTTCTTTTCATGGTTGATACAACTGTGGTAAAACGCAACTTTTGTTTTGTGTGTTTTACGGCTCAAACCGGCCGCTAGAACAGCATGATTACTTTACACGATTTGAGTTAGCAGTGAAGACAAACTTAGACCATCTAGTATCGATTGTTCCTTGTCTACCAGCACTGAATTGGAAGCAAGTTAGAAGGTTGCGCAGTGACATCTGGAGTCAACACAAGAACAACCACTGGCTGTTCTTTGTTTGTGGTTAACGGGGACACCAGCGTTGACCTGTCTCGAAGCAAAAGTTCGTCTGCCTTTTGCGACTTTTCACCAGAAAATTCCATTTCTCTTTCACCTCATCTTCCCGTCTCAGCCGAGGTCTTTCATTCTGACACTTACTGCCCGTTGGATAGCAATCCATCACTGCTGAAGTCCGTCGGTCATCCATACGTCATGCAGCGGACTCCGGGACATTTTGTTTTTGCTTTCCATTCCATCCATTCTTGGCAAGTGGTTTCGAGTGATGTTCGCTTTTGCCAGGTGTCTTTGACAGGGCATTCGTTTGTCCTTTACCCTACATGAATCGGGTTCTGGGTGAAAACTCTACGAGCCTTGACCTGTCCAAGAGGCTCTGATGCAGCCACCTGATCTCTGGCGGTTTTCTCCCTCGCTGAGGATAGTTTACAAACTAAAAAAGATATACCTAGTTGAGTTTATTCATATTTTTGGATTTGAGGATTTTCCTTTATGCTTTGCCTTTTTCGTCAAAAGAGGGTTGACCTCGGTATGAGTGCTGTTTTGTTTCAACGTATGATGCCCGGTCCTATCAGTAATCACGATTGATTTCTGTTGAGCATACCACTGTTTTGCCTGTCCGTTTAATAGTGACAGCGGGCATTATACCATTGCTTGATAACGCCAATCATTCACAATCAAGGTACCAAATGGTGCTTCTACTACCAAAACCTTATTAACGGGCAAGAGATTTTCTGCCCTTATCTGGATTTGGGAGACTGTTTAAGTAAGCCAGGGCTGAATCGTATTTTGGCACCTGCAATGCATTGCCCCATAGACTACTATGAGCAAGGGATGGAGAAATTACATTTGCATCTGGATGAGTGACTGGAGAATGTAATTCTTTCCGCGGTGGCATTGACAACTAACGGTTTTCTAGCAAACCCATAATATCAGGGTGTACTTGTTAGGTAACAGGCCAGTTACTTGGCCGTTTTACAGGACTATACTGTTACGATTTCCTTGAAGAGAGGCAAGAACCGCAGGATGTCGCCCTGCTGAATATTCCCTCATTCAGGTTCTTGTTCACTCCCAGCAATCAGCCACAACGGGTAGACTCTAAGGCAGCATAATACCCGTCTGATTGCAACAGTTTCCTTGTCAAAACCTTCGACAAAGGACGCACCTCCAATTAACTCCGCGCTCCCTCGTCGACGTACACAATGAAGACGGTGATGATGAAAATGGTTATGATTATTGCAACGAGATAGAGAAGGATGGGGATGGTGACCATGACGATTGTGGTAATGATAATTGTATTGATTATGATGAGATGGCATGGCAGATGACTATGAAGATGGTGATGAAAGTGGATGACAATTATTTAAGTTAATCGTTGACATTTTCATGACGCGTGGCTTCCTGACAACCTGTCATTCTTACTTGAGTATCAAAAAACAGCCAGTTGTAGTTGCTAGTATTTTGTTTCCATGAACGTCAAAGCGTATCTTCAATGTTTACGTTTCAAGTCACCTGATTATTCCTTCAAGTTTCAAGAGATGCTTGTATGTCTGTTTCGATTTCCTGTTCACCCGTTGGTTTTTGCTTATTTACATGGTCCCATAAATACAATGGTTACGAAAGATTCGCGTTGCTGCGTTTATTTCTAACTTTCTGCGAACGATGCTTTGAGAACTTCTGAATTAGTGACATTCCTGTTTGGATTTGGATTTCAAAAGTTTTTGAAACAGACTCAAGATCAGTAGTCACGACAACATGAATGTCCATTTCAGGGGAGGGAGGAGTTATATTCTCCCTCTCAAGCAGAAGGATGTGTCTTCCGCAAAAATCCCAAAGGAAATCACGTGAACGATTTTGCCTTTGCCAATTAACCACTGAATGCAACATGGTGGTCCACTGGCAAAGTGAACGGAAGATCTGGTGAAATGACGGTTAATGCGTGATGTGCAAAAATGGAGAATGCAATACCCTTTACTGGATGGTCAAAATTAAGACAAATCCCGCCTAGCTTCATTGTTCGATTTTTAGTCCATTTGTCTACTTATTACAGAAGGGAGGCCGCCATTCGTCGTGTAACAAAAGTGTCTATGCGGTTCTTGAAAAATGGGTGATTCCAAGGAGTCCAAAGCAGCCTATACCCTCGTGAGATTTTGCCCCATAAAAATTCAAGAGTATGTTTTTGGTCGGCAGCTTGTTCTTTCGCCTACGTGGTTTCGAAGCCTGGCCAAAATAGTCTGCTTTTTGATCTAATGAAGTAGATGGGTAAGCACCGTTCTAATCAACTGGGCCAGATACAACCGATCTGTTAACCAATCAGCGGCAAGTATAACGTTTATATAAATAAAGCACGCCATTCCCCTACCCCCACCTTGAAACTGCTAACTGATTACATCGAACTATTGTGACAGTGTAAACTTCAGTGAAGAATGTTATGAGACGTGGTGTAAAGCAGATAAAACTGGCATAACCTACTGGAAGCGGATTTATATGCAACGAGGAGTAAGAGGTCGAAACATTTAATGCATAATGTAATCCGACAGACCTCATTCTGCACCTCGAACATCATAAATCCAAAGTTAATTCAGCGTTTATAATTCAATGACCGTGGTAGACGAGGTCAGCAGCAACAAATGAAACAGATATTCAGTTTTGTGAAATATCGTCCGCTCATTTTATTAAAACTGACAAATTTTCTCAGAGCATTTTTTACTGAATTTTATGCTCCGAAGTGTCGTAGCGAGTTAGTGTGCTTTGCACTTTGGAGGTGCCGGATTCTGGCCTCAAGAACGAGGCAAATATTTTTTTATTTACTGTTAATTCCGAATAACAGTTAATAAATGAGCAATTCATCCACCCTGCTCTGGTGCAACCGCACCGTCAACGAGCAATTGGCTA